CAAATAATGGATGGGTTGTGGGGCTAAGTTGCCCCTCCCCGACATTCTTTCGTCAAAGCCCACAGCCCACTTGACTATGTTATCTGCCCATCCTGCATGCTTTGAGGCCCAATGCAGGGAAGAAAATGGCACAGGAGATTGATTTTTGAGAGCATCCAAGAGTTCTTTCAAGGTCCACGATATCCTGTCTGCAGTTGCTGAGAGATCTTATGAGGGCTTCCTGTTTCTCACCGTGCTCCTCTCTAGGACAAGCAGCTCAGTGTCTATGACCCCGCTAAAATATTTTGTAACTAAATTAATTATTGTATACTAATTTCACTATATCGCTCCAATGTTTGAGAGCCTCGAATGGCACAAACATACACACACACACACACACACACACACACACACACACACACACACAGCCCTTCAGAAAAAACAAACCCCAAAGTCCTCATCTTAGCTTCCAAGGCCTTCTACAAACTTCCTCCAAAAGACCTTTCCAGACTTCTCTTTCCCTCCTTCCCCCTACATGAACCCTACTCCAGTTAAAAGCGATCCATTCACTATCTCTTAAACTTGCTTTATGGTTTTCCTTCTGGGTCTTTGCCATGACATTTTCTTTCTCTTGAATTCTCCCAGCCTGTGTCTCCCCCTATAAAAGCGTGACCCATTCCTCAAAGCTCAGTTCAAATCATTCTCCCTTTAGGTTGACTAGATCCTATGAGATTCCCCATTCTCTGCTTTCTCCATTTGGCCTTCCACCCCAGTCTGCCAGAAATGTTCTCTCCTTCCTCCAGCCTCTTACGGTACTTTTTGACTACATCATTAATATGACACATCCTTAACTGCTTAGTTAATTCTGTCTAATACAGCATGGCACAGTGGGTAGATTCAGAAAGACCTGAGTTTAGCTCCTACCTTGACACATAATAGCTGCATGGCCATAAGCAAGTCACATTACCTCAGGCCTTGATTATTACCTCAGGCAATAGCTGCTGATGGGTCTGCCTGCCCCGGATTCTCTCCTCCCTCGAATCCATTCTCCATTCAGCCACTAAAGTGATTTTCCTAAAACACAAGTCTGATCATGTCACTCCCCTACTCAATAAACTCCAGTGGCTCCCTGTTGCCTCCAGGTGCAAATATAAAATACTCTATTTGGCATTCAAAGCCTGTTGTAACCTAGCCCCCTCCTACCTTTCCAGTCTTCTTACTCCTTACTCTCTAACACACACTCTTCAATCCAGTGATCCTGGCTGTTGTATAAACTAGATACTCTGTCTCAGGCTCTGGGCATTCTCTCTGGCTTTCCCCCCATGCCTAGCATGCTCTCCCTCCTCCACTCAGACTACTTACCTCCTTGACTTCCTTAAATCCCAATTAAAATCCTACCACCTACAGGAAGCCTTCCCCAACCCCTTAATTCCTATGTCTTCTCTGTGTTAATTCATTTCTATTGATTCTGTATATAGCTCACTTTGCATATATGTGCTTGCACATTGTCACCCCCGTTAGATTGTGAGCTCCTTGAGGCCAGGGACTGTCATTTGCCTCTTTTATTTTCCCGGAACTTAGCAAAGTGCCTGACACATAGTAGGTACTTTAATATATGTTTATTGAATTGTATTTAATTGAACCTCTTGATGTTCCAAGAAACTCACTAAGACTGTAAGTTGAAGAGGAGGTGCTGATCTATATTAATGGAGGAACTTTCTTCCCTGGAAGCTCTCAACATCAATGAAATCACCAGTATAGAACAAATACAAACATATATATCTACACACATATACATTCAATATATTTATGTATATGTGTGTATGCATATGTGCATGAACCTGGGTCTCTTGACTTGCAAGACAGCATATGTACACATATACACAAATATCATGCACACACATACTCATAATGAATCTCAACTAAGCATTGAGGGCAAGAGTGATCTTAAAACATCTTCATATAATGGAAAACAGTATAATGTAGTGAAAAAACCACTGAACTTGGATTCAAGAAACTTGCTTTCTAGTCCTGGCTCTACCATTGTAAGACCTTGGACAAATCACTTAACCTCTCTGAGCCTTCATTTTATCATCTGTAAAATGGGAGTGTTAATACTCATACTAGTGACCTCACAGGATTATAATGAGGATCAAACGAGCTAATGCAAGTAAAATACTTTGAAACCTGTGTAGTGCAATATAAATGCCATCCGTTTAATGACTACTTCCCATACTTCAAGAAACAGCTTCGATACTTCAATATTTCAGGGGCCTATGATTTCACCAATGTGAAAACCCTCCACTGACACAGATCACAGCCCTTCTAAATCTTGGTAGATAGACTTTAAGAATTGCCATGGACAAAAATTTCAACACTCTGCAGCCCACCAGATGATAAACCTCTATACACATGTAAATATTTATTAAATAAATATGTATTAAATAAATGGATGCCCACTGCCTTGCCAGTCAAGTGATCAGGGTACTAATTCTGATTCTTCCACTCCTTTTCTATGTGACCTTGGACAAGGCATATAAGGTCTCTAGGTCTCCGTTTCCTCATCTATTATATGGAGCCAATAATAATGTGCCTGTATGCTGTGAAGCGCTGTGATGAGGACAGAATAATAAAATGGATACGAACATCCTTTTAGAGATTATAGAGCACCACACACCAATGCAAGGATGAGCATTATATCCTTGGCTATAATTTCTGAAAGAATGACTGGATCCTTTTCTTCTTAGGGGACTTGCAAAATGTCTGGATGAAATTGTGTCCCAGGACATGGAATTTATCAATTAAACAGCCTCTGAGAGCCCAGATACCTTCAAGCAAATGGATCAAGCTCCTAAGCTCTTTCTGCCCCCTCCTTGGCTCTCACAGTACAAAGAGCACAAAGGCTGAAACTCAAGAGATCTGGGTTTTGGTGGCAGCTCTGGTAGGAGCTATATGTGTGACCTTGGGGCAAGTTGTCATGCCTCTTAGGGCCTCATTTTTCTCATCTGTAAGATTAGGAAGTTGGACCAGGTGATCCCTAAGGTGTCGTCTAGTCCTAATGTTTTGTAAATCTGTGATTGCTCAGAGAGCCTGGATAGCAGCAACCAAATCAGAAAAAATGTCAAATCCTCAAGATTAAATTTCCATGGGTTATGGGGGATTTGAGGACCAGGAAATCAGCAGTAAATCTTTAAAGCATTGAAAACTTCCCCAAAAATGGCTGAGGACTTTAATGCTAGGCCTAGAAACCCTCTATAGCCATTGTCCAGATTGCCACTGAGGGGTTGGCTGGGGTTTGGGGTGGGGGGAGGATGAAATGCAAATCTAAAAAGGATGATAAAGTCAGAATCCTTATTCTGTGTACTGCAAAGGTTCCCACTTAGACAACTAAACATAGAGAGACACTGCCTATCCTTACACTGGCCTATTTAAAGGCATGAGAATGTCTATAAAGTAATATGAGTGATAAATGCAGAGTGATGACTTCTCTTTTTAACAGATTAGGATTTATGATATGTTATCTACACCAAAGTAGTCACTGGGTGGAGAGGGGGGAGATCTTTGTACTTACTCTAAGATTGCCACTCCTTATAACTTTGTTGTAACCCTTCTTGAGGAATCATCTTCAAAGTCAGATTACACAAGAAAATCTACCTCATGTTATACTCCTTTCTCATTTTTATCATCAATACTACCATCAGTAGTACTGTAGTATACAGACAGACACACAGATACAAAATATACAAACACACATACACCATTCATACACCACGATTCTCCAGCTTATTCAACAATATTACCTATAAGTTTTGACTTCAACTAACTTTGTCTTACTTCCAAAAGTAAAATCCACCCTCAAAGGACCAAGATTTATCATCATAGAGATGTTGTTAAAATGTGTCATAGGCTCAGAAGGCAGCTCCCAAAAAGGAATTTCTCACAACATGTTGAGCAATAGCAGACTCATGTGTGTGGCCTCCTGAGGTGGTTGCTTTGAAGGGGACAGTCCTCATTTGACTAGAGAAGTTCTGGTCTCTTTATTAAATAATACTACCCATCACTTATAGTCATACCTTCTCATCCTATCTACCCCAGTCTGATGGGGTTCCCCCAACCATTTACATTTGTTCCTATGCCTCTTCCCCCACCTCCCAATTCCGCCATCCTACTCCACCCCCACCTCCATCCATGCATGCACTCAGACAAATGCAGGGAGGAGCTGAGTCTTCAAATTCTGTCTTCAGTCTAAAAGGGTAACTCTAATGGATTCTGGAAGACATTCACAGCAATCAGTCCTCTTTCCCAACAGCCTCTTCTCCGGCTAGGGATAATGCTTTGGCAAGACATTTCAGAGGGTTCTGTAAGCTAACAGAACCCTCCTCGAAGAAGACAAGACCCAGAGAACCACTTTGATGAGTGATACATTCTAACTTGTGTGTCCCAAGTGTGTGTTGGATGCTTAAGAGATCTCCCTAACTGCATAACCCTCCACATTCACACCCTTCAAATACACACTTCTCTCACAGCCTCCACAGTCACACACTGAAATGCATTCTCAGCATATATTCTACACACAAATACAAACACATATACACTCTACACTCATTTCCCCCATGCCATCCCCTAACATAACTTTAACTCACAAATACAGGCTATTGCTATGTAAAATAATGCTCACCAGTTATACTCTAATTCATACTCTAATACAACTTTAAAGGCTGAGCCTAAAGAACAGAACTTCTTTAAAAAAAGTAATCTCTGCACCCCACTCTCAGATCCTGGATGACCGGATCAGGTAGAGGAGGTGAAGGGACTTTATGAAGTGAAACTGACATCCCTGGACAACGTGTATTTGTAAGTCCTTGTCTCTTCCCTCTTATAGAGCCAGAGACCTCTACTTACCCCCAAGGCCAGCACAAGCAGACTTGAAGGGAGTCTGGGAGACAGGAACCCTCAAGTCCATTGTGCATGAGCCCTGGGGTCCCCCAGGTTTCCTCCCATGGCCACCTCCACCCTCCTACCTGCAAGCAGTTGCATCCAGGCACAGATCTTGTAGACTGTGGCTGTGTTGCAGAAGAAGAAGAGGGCGAAACAGGTGATGCAGCCCAGGATCAGCACCATGGACAGCAGCACGAAGAAGGCAGCCGCCTTGAAGGCCCCAGACGGGATGGTGCTGAAGTCGGTGAAGGAGCCACGGCAGGTGAGCTCCCGGCCAGCCAGCCCGCTCCCCACGCAGTAGTGGAAGAGGCCGAAGTAGCCGGGTTTAGGGGTGCTCACACTGTCGCCCACCCAGTAGGGCTGGATGAAGACCACCACGTTGATGATGGCGAAGCAGATGGTGAAGATAGCCCACAGCACCCCAATGGCCCGCGAGTTCCGCATATAATGCTCATGGTACAGCTTCGAGGCCTCCTGGGATGGCAGCATGGTGGCAGGGTTTGGGGTTGGGATAGAGGGTGAGAGCGGGGATGCACTGGGCTATGGGACCAGGAGCCAGGAACCTGATGGTTAGGAGCCTGGGAACTGAGAGAGGGGTGGGCGGGGGAGACGGGGAGGGAGCTAAGGAAATGAAGGCCTGAGAGCCTGGAACCCCAGGGCTGAGGGGTGGGAGTGAGGGGCGGAAGGGCAGGGGAGGCGGGGCAGGGGCCCTAAGACTAGAGGGGCTGGGGCTGGGAGAGGGGGGGCCCCAGGGCCCAGGCCCAAAGCCTTCCCGGGGGAGAAGATGCTGGGGGCAGGGAGCTGGGGGGAATGGAAAAGGATGGGGAGAAGCTGGGGGCTGGGGGGAGGCCAGAGCGAGGGGACTGGAGGCGTGGGGAGCCGGGCAGGCACTGGGCCGAGCTGAGCCGAGCTGAGCGAGGGGCCGCGCGGCCCAAGAGCAGGGGCTCCGGGGTACCAGGCCCGGAGGGGAGCAGCGCAGCAGCAAGCCACGAGCCCCGAGGAGGCGGGCCGGGCGGAGGAGACTGCGGGGCCCCGGGCCGGGGCCAGGGCCGGGGCCGGGGCCAGGGCCGGGCCGGGAGACGAACCTGTCCTAGTCTCCAGGAGGCGGCTGGAGCTCCGGAGGGGGGCCGGCCTGGGCTGGGGGACCGCGTGCGCCCGACCCAGGCCCAGAGGCAGGAGGACCCTAAGCACCTCGGCTCCGGGGCCCCGACGGCGGCGGCATCGGCTGCAGCTTCAGCGTTGGCGGCAGCTTCGGCCCGGCCTCCATCTTTGCTCCGGTTCTCCCCTGGGGGCGCGCTCCCGCGCCGAAGCGCGTCCTCGTCGCCACCCCCCCTCCCCAGGCGCGCCCCTGACGGAGGCGCGCTCCTGTCCGGTGCAGGTGGAGCAGAGGAGGGTAAGGAGGGCTAGACTTGGGGTTCGGCCTTGGCTCTGCCGGTAGGCTCCTACCTCTGGCCCTCTTGGGTCTAACAGCGCCTGGGGGAAAGGGGATAGAAAGGAAGGGGCCTGGGCTGCCCACAGGAAAGCGGCACCTTCGCAGACCCCCGACCTCTCCACGGCCCCCCAGGTACCCTCGCTCTCTCCATTCACAGAGTAGCGGGGAGGGGTGCGGCCAAAGCCCCCGTAGTCTCAGAATCCTGAAAAGGTTCCCCACCACCACAGGCAGTCTTCTCACTGGAGCTTGCCCCGCCCCTCGACTGGGCTCTGCTCCTCAGCAAACCTGAGATGTTCCCTGGAGCCCCAGACTGAGCTGAGTCCTTCCTTCCAGGCCCCTTCGCAGGGGTGGGTCTATCTGGTCCTTGGGATTGTTGGGAAAATGAGATTGTCCAAAATGGGCTTCTTAGAATCACAGAATGACAGAGCTGGAAGGTACCTTAAAGACTATAAATCTAGTCCAACTCCCCTGTTTTACAAATGAGTAAACTGAGGTGCAAAGAACTTGAGTTATTTGTTCAAGGTCATACAGCTAGTGAATGGTAGAGCTGAGACTTGAACCCAGTTCTTCTGCCTTCAAGTTCAGAACTCTTCCTACTATTCTTCCCTGGGTTCTAGTCAGTGTGGAGAGCAATCCACAACTCATTTCATTCATTCATGCATTTGCTCACTCAACAATTCTTGATCACTATGTGCAGAGCACTGTACTAGGTACTGGGTGTAGGAAGGGAGAGTTGTGGGAAGTGTCTGCCTTACCTTAGGGATCTCACAATGCAGCAGTGGTAATCTTTCTGACCTCCCAAGCACTTGTCATGATCTACTTTGTATTACAATAGTTCACATTTATATAGCTACTTGAAATTTTCAAAGCATTTTCTTCACAGCAACCCAGTGAGGGAGGGGTTGTATAAATATTATTAACCTCATTTGACAAATGAATAAATTGAGCCTCAGAAAGTTTAAGTTATCCAGAACTACACTGCTAGTGTCTTTATTTGTGTTTGTATAACATCCTCTCTTCCTCTCCCAGGATTGTGAGCTCTTTGAGGACATGTACAGTGTACTATTAGTCTTTGTATACCTTCAGGGCCTAATGTAATACTCTGTACATAGCAAGAACTTGATAAATGTTTGACAAATTAAACTAAAGATATTCGAACAGATAAATAAAAGGCAAATTAGAATATAAATATCATCTTAAGAGCATTACAAAAATGATGAGAGATAGATGGCAAATTGATATATGACTCTAGTCCCAGAACGCACTAGTATAGAATGCAGAGAGTTTCAGTCTCTTCAGTATTCTTCAAGCTCTTCAGTTTTCTTCAAGTCTCTGAATTTCTTTGGACTGCCAGCACTTCTGGGTACCAGCTTTGAGAGACATGATGGAAGATGCCAACCCCATTCCAAATTATTGAAGGAATAGACTCTGGGAAGAAGCTGACATGAGAAGAACTGGCAGTCTCCATCATGTCCTTATCCCCAACTTTCTACATCAGAGATTTCAGGGAAGTTCTACTTGGGTGAGATCAAGGATTCTTTCTTGATTAATCTGAGTTACTTTGCTTCCAAAGGGAAAGTGCCTTCATTCTGTATTGTCTGGTATACACTCTCATGTATATTTTCTCTGATTTCTGTTTTCTACAAGATTGGACAAATGGGTTTCTTTGCTGTTTGTTCATTTGTTCATATTTGTTCATTTGATGTGAAAAGGGTCAAGACCTAGATATAAAGCTTAGGATCCTGCTTTCCCCCTATTAATGAAAAAGCAATCAGAAGTTAGATTGAACCTGAAAAATACATCCCCTAGAATAACAACATTTAAAGAAGAAGATATAATTCTGGCCCAGTACCTCCTATTTCTGAAGAGAGCAAAGTGATGACCTTTTTCCCCAACTTCCTGCTTCCGATTCTGGCAGGAATTAAATTCTTCCTTGAAGAAGAGTGGGAGGAAAAGAAGCTAGGGATGTCTATTCTGCCTTCTTTGAACCACACAATGACATCCCCATGGCATATCTGGGAGAAAGCCCTAGCCATAGATAGATAGATAGATAGATAGATAGATAGATAGATAGATAGATAGAATAGATAGAACTAGTTAGGTGGAGCATTTATTAAGAGCTTGAAATGTGTCAGGAATTGTGCTAAGTGCTAGGGCTACAAAGAGAAACAAGAAGCTTCCATTCTAATAGGGAAAGACATCATAAAAGAAGTGCTAGAAAGCAGGAGGAGAAAGAAAGGAGTATCTGTTGATTTTGGGGGGGAGGGGAACTGAACCATAGTTCCCAGTGAGCTCAGGAACCCTAGATTAGATGGATCTCCCTCTCCCCCACAACTGAAACTGGGAAACAAGAATCATTCTTGGTATCTCTGACCTCTTTGACACTGTCAATCACACTTATCTCCCTGCTACTCTTCTCTAGGTTTTTATGACACGGTTCTCACCTGGATCTCTTCCAAGCTGTCTGACCATTCTTTTTCAGTCTCCTTTGTTTGATCTCCAGCTAAGTCATTCCTACTGATTATGGATATCCCCTACGACTCTGTCCTGTGACCTCTTCTCTTCTCCCTGTATACTATTTCACTTGGTGATCTCATCAGCTTCCATAGATTCAGTGATTATTTCCATACTGATGATTCTCAGATCTGCTTATTTTGCCCTAAACTCTCCCCTAACCTCTAGACTAGAATTTCCAACTGCTTATTGTCCTGTAGACATCTTAAATTCAACATGTCCAAAAAACCAAACTCATTTTCTTTTCCCTCAAACCCTCCCCTTTTTCTAAATTTTCTGTTACTGTCAAGGATACTACCATCCTCTCAGGCACCCAGGCTTCCAACATAGTTATCGTTCTCAGCTCCTCACTCTCTCTCACCTCTCATAGCCAATACATTTCCAAGTCCTATTTATTCTACCTTCATTACATCTGTCTTATATGCTCCCTTCTCTCCTCTAATGTTGCCTAGACTATCAAAACGGCCCCTTTGATCTCTTCACCTCAAGTCTCTCTCCACTCCAGTCCATCCAAGAATCAGTTGTCAACTGATCTTCCTAAAGCATAGATCATTCCTCTATTCAATAAACTCCAGTGGCTCCCTGTCACCTCTAGGATCAAATACAAAATCCTCTACTTGGCATTCAAACCTGGCACCCTCCAACCTTTTTCAACTTTTTACAGCTAACTCCCACCTATATACCCTGTGATCCAGTAATGCTGGCCTCCTGGCCATTCTTCAAACAAGATATTCCATATCCCAATTCCACGCCTTTTGCTGGCTGTCTCCCATATCCAGAATTCTTTCCCTCCTCAAATTTGCATCTTGGCTTTCCTGGATACCTTCAAGTCCTGGCTAAAATCCCACCCTCTACAGGAATCCTTTCCCTGTCTCTTTAGTGCTAATGCTTATCCTCTGCTGATTATCTCCATTTCATTTGCCTCCCCCATTAGGCTACAAGCTCCTTGAAAGCAGGTACAACTATTTTGCCTTTCTTTGTATCCCCATGCCCACATGGTTGGTAATATACACAGTGAATATATATATACTGGTGGATCCAACTTGTATTTGAGGGGCAGTATGAGAAGTAAGACCCATCTTGCTCCTCATCTAGAATTGAATGGGATTTGAGAGAGTTTGTAGGTTGGGAAGGGCTTTGCTCAAGAGATTGCTGAGACACAGAACCCTGGAAACTACCATCCAATATTCCCAGGTAGTCTAACCCTAATATAAAGCCTCTCTCTAAATCACACCAACTCACCCACTGGAAACTGAATGTGTTTATAGAGCTGTCTTCAAGAGTAAGCATAAAGCTGTCTTCTTATGATGCAAGAGACTACCCTACCCCCAAATTACTGCTAGGCTCCAATTAGTTCAAATAACATATCCCTTGAAGGGATTACATGTATTCAGATTTGCACTATTTGAAGCTATAATTATGTAAAACATAGTCATTAGTTCCATATCAATGAAAATATTCAATGCAAATTCAAATAATGTGACCGCTAAGGGGGAATTCATTATTTGTACTAACGGGGACCTGGTTGTATTTTCCCCATCACCTGCTATGGAGGCAGAAATTCTGCTTTGTTCCCTGGGGTCTTAAAGGCTTGCTGGTCTTCCACAGTTCCCTGTGATGCTACGAATACCTCCGGAAAGAGCAACCACTTACCCATCATCATTATCTTCATCAACAGCAAGCATTTAAAAAGTGCTTATGTGCCAGGTACTATGATAAATGCTGGAGATATAGAGAGAAGCAAAAACATGATTCCTGCCCTGAAACAGCTCACATTTTAATGGTGAAGGTAATATGCAAACGACATACCTACAAGATACATACAGTGTAAAAAGGAGGTAATCTCAGATGAAATGCATGGCAGGTATAGAGTATGGGGAGGAAGAAAGAGACTAGGAAAAACATCGTGTGTGTGTGTGTATGTGTATGTTGTGTGTGTGTGTGTGTGTGTGCGCGTGTGTGTGTGTGTGGCAATCGGGGTTAAGTGACTTGCCCAAGGTCACACAGCTAGTACGCATCAAGTGTTTGGTCTGAGACCAGAATTGAACTCGGGTCCTCCTGACTTCAGGGCCAGTGCTCTATCCACCATGCCACCTAGGTGCCCCTGGGAAAGACATCTTGAAGAAGATAACATTTATATGTAGTCTTGAAGGAAGCCAGGGAAGTCAGGAGGTGGAGGTAAGGAGGGAAAAGCATGAGAGACAGCCAGTGAAAAAGCCCAGAAAAGGGAAATGGAGGGTCATGTTCTAGGAACATAGTGAAAGCCAGTGTCTCTAGATTGTAGAATAATAAGGTGGCAGCAAAATGTAAGAAACTAACAGTTTATAGTGATTACTGGTGGACATCAAGCTGAAAACAAGACCGCAGAGAATGAAGGAGAGGAACCCTAAAAGGAAGAAGGAGACAGTATCAGTTCTTGTTGATGGTTGTCCCTAGACTTCATCTCC